GAAAGAAAGCCACCGTGCATCTCCCCCTTGTCCCTTAAAATAATAATCCCCATAACACTCTTTTTGCATACAGAGAAGTAAACTCTTTTCACTTCTTTCCTCTCAATACAGATTGTCACCATGGGCACTGCACATACCAGTGCTGGACAATATGTGCAAACGGCCACCCTCAAAAACCTGGATTTTCCAGTCCTGCATCCCAAAGCACGAAGTGTGTTCGTATGTATGGCTGATCTGGAATGGCTGAAAATGGATAAGAGCTGTCCACCATTTTTGATGAAAGGAGTTCACCACCACCATTTTTGGAGTTATTATGGGGTCTTCCTCTAAGAAGAAGAATTTTAGTCTGCAGAATTCCATCAGAGGAGATGTGTCTGATATTGCTCAGTCACTGAGGCAGAGACCTAATAATGTACCCAGTAGGTCTACATGACATCTTTAACATTTGTCACTGCTATTCAACTAGAAAGATCCTTGCTTTCTATCACAGGTGAGGAACAGCTCAGGTGGCAGGTGATCCGCTAGTCTAAAGAGTCATGGCAAGCCAGATGTTCTACCCACAATTCAAAATTGACTAGTGGGTCAAATGGAACAGTCAAGTCCCCAGTTCGCTCACATTCACATCTCAGCATGAATGGGTGTCAGGTGACTGTTCTGGATGGAGAAGGGGGTCCATGTGAGAATCTGTATGGCTGCAATGCAAAGAGGAACGAGGCAGATCATGTAGAACATGGCATCATGGAGGCCTAGGAACAAACTAGTAGAAAGGACACAATTAGAATAGTCAGTTCTTTCAATAATTATTACTTTAAAACAGACATGCTCATACGATGCGCCTCCCAACCCCACATTTGAACACAGGAGGCTATCTTATATTGGGTCCAACTAATGATATTATCTGAGTCGGTGTTGTCTACTCTGACTGCCAGCAGCTCTCTGCAGTCTCAGGTAGCAATCTTTCGCATCAACTACTACTTGATGTTCTCAGCGGGAGATGCTGGGGAGTGAACCTAGGACCACCCATGTGCAAAGCAGATGGTCTATCACTGAGCCATGGCCCCTCCCCATTTATATTTACGACCCAAACGTATCAATGATTCTGTTCTAATTCTTCTATGAGATTAATAGGGTAGTCCTAAACTGAGTTGCATGCTTCAGCGGCCACTGACAGAAGGGTACAACTCTGTTCAGGACTGTACTGTAGATGCTTCTGATTGGACTTGGAATATCATCCTTCTGAACAAAAATGGCAGGTCGCCATGTTTCTCTACTTGAATGTTGACGATGTATACCATTACAAAATGCATCATACAGTCTGTGAAGAAATGCATTTTTTCCTGGGAGGTTGGCAAAGAGCAAGCCTCCACTTGGTGCTTTAAAAGTGGGTTTTTTCCTTTTTTCTAGGTAGCGAACAAGCTGGGAAGAGGAAGTCCATCACTGGCTTTCCAGGCTAACCTCTTAAGAAATGCTAATGGCTCTAGCTAGAGACAATGGAATGGCCAGCCTCCTCCTTCTCCAGGCAGGAAACAGACTTTGGAAGACTTCAGGCTAGAACAGCTCCAGGAAGAATCTCCAAGCAGGAGGTGGAGGAAATGCTTCTTTGACCTGGGCGGACCAGGTCAAGTGGGAGGGGAAACAGATGATAAAAAATAAGGCGGTCTCTTTCTTTGGGGTGCTGCAGTTAGGAGAATTGTGAGCTGGGCTCCGCAAGGAGTCAGCCATATTGACCATGTGCCCGCCTAGTTTGCGAGAGCTGTTCTACGTAATGGTAACTCTGTAGAGATTTGTACCTAGCTAAGTTTAAAGAGCCTGTCCTATTTTAACAGCTGGTAGGGCATGTATAGAGAGAGGGACAGAGGATTTGCATTTTTACCAACTTCTTTTGTATTCCTTGCTCAAATCTGGTATGATAAACTTTTAATAAGTAATTTAAAAAATGGCCTGGGAGTGGTTTTCTGTACCACATAAACCTCCACCATTTCATAAATGCTATTTTAAAAGGGGCTCCAGGGGACTGGCAAGCAGCTGTTCCTCCAAGGGTGCCCAAGGCAGTAAACCGTCCCTGTGGTGACCATGTGCTGGACACAGAGGCAAGGCTTTAGAACTTGGAAGGGAAGCTGGGAGTCCTGACCCTCCCAGCAGGCACTTCCTTGAAAAAGGGCAGGTGGTGGTAGTGGCTACCCTAGAGAGAAAGGAAAACCCCTCCAGGGAGTTGGGAACGCCTAGGAGGGCAGGGTGGAACAGGGCCCGCAGGCCAAAGCAGGCCCATTCTGCCGCACAGTCAAACATAATTTTGTTAAATAATACCACAGATGATCCTGTTTTACAGCCGCTTTGCAGCATTTTACCTTTCTGTATCTAGATGGGGCCTGAAAAATAGCATGGATCGCAAACAGCTCCATTCATTTGAATGACATTTCAAGCAGGTTGTGGTGTTCTTGCCAAATGGAGTTGTCTGCAAGGCTCAAGGCTTCATTAACTATGTTCAGAGTCCGCTCAGCACAAACAGCAGGCTTCTTTTATACGATCAGTATGGTCTGTGCTCCGTAGCGCACACACCTATAATTGTGCAGAGTAACTGAACTGTGGACTTGCTGGTACATGGATGAACCAGCAACTTTTCTTACAACTGCAGCAGCTCCTAGGATCATGGAAGAATCACCATGACTAGATCTGCGCACTACTCAATTAAATATTTTGGTTATCTGTGTTAAGTCTGCGGCCAAGGATATTTTGTCTTATGCAAACCAGCCTTTAAGTGCTTCAGATGCAATGGTGAAGCCTGCACTACACCTGGAACAAATTCCTTCCTCATACACACTTTAGGTGCAGGTTTCCTTATGGCTTCTGCTCTAACTTGCCACTTACTTTGGGTTAGGCTGAGCAAGTTTACTATTCAGATTTGCATATCCAAATTGATTGAGTATAGTAACCACCAGCATAGGAGCTAGAGACTGGGCTGGCTTTGTAAATAAGGCATTCGTTCCAAAAACCATGGATGAAAGCGGTGATCTGAAATATCAAGCAGAGATATGTTGTTACATGGTGTATTCTATATGCCGGCACCTACCACCAATCATGTTTATAAGTAAGGGGATGTTTGGTTTCAATAAGAAGTCATCCAGATGTATGCTGTGGTATGTAGACCTTCTTCATGGATATAAACTGACAGTATTGAAGCAGCAGGCAAACAAATTTGAGCAAAGAGATTGAGGTATATTTATTGTAAGGATCAAGGTGTATTTATTGTAACTGTTGGGTGTTAGAAAAAAGAAAGGTTTTGGTGAGGTGGCTGAAATGTATTGCTATTGCACACTGCAAGAAATGCAAGCAGTTGCGGAGAGATGAGCTAAGATCTACAACTATCATCCGACCCACTAGATGGCCTTTGAGCTGGTCATTTTCTGTCAGCCTCATCTACATTACAGGGATGAGGTAAGATTAAAAAGAGGGGAAGGGATAATCACAGTGGAGGAAGGGGTCAAGGTAAACATGTAATAAATAAATCCAGGTGGGAAGCAATAGAACAAAGTTTGAGTCCAGTGGCGCTTTTAAGACCAACAAAGTTTAATTCTGGGTATAAGCTTTTGTGTGCATGCAATAAATATAACACTTTCAGGCCAATCCACCAGTCTGCTAGCTTGAATGTTTGAGCCCACTGAGGCATTTAAGTTACGGGCAGCCTGACCTTCAGCATCAAAAGAGAAATTATGTAAAGCCCTTTCTGCACACTGAAAATGGTTTCGGAATGTTAACTGCAACTGTGGTCAGTGTAACTGTTTACTGAGTTGGGACTCTGTAACTGGGGAAAACAATACAAGAGATTGTGGGTGCTGGTCAAAACCAAACTTACCTCCGTTTATGTTTCTTTAAATCTGCATCAACAATATCAGCCAAAGGCAAATTAAAGAGACTGAAAGAAGCTTGAACGATTACCCTAAAGTATAAAAGTTAAACATTCATTATCTTTACAAAATAAGCTTTAGTTCCTTCTAGCACAATAACTACACACAGTTGTTCTACTCTCAGTCCATTGGCATTTTGTAATATAGCAGGTAGGCTCTGCTTCAACTGAGGACCCAAATCCCACCAACCTAAGAGGATGATAGATCCAGATGGGCAGCCATGTTGGTCCGAAGCAGAAGAACACAGTTTGAGTCCAGTGGCACCTTTAAGACCAATAAAGTTTTATTAAAGGTATGAGCTTTCGTGTACATGAACACTTCCTCAGATACATACAAATGTATAGACAGAGGCTGAACAGGAAATTTGCATGTAACATAATGAAGATGTTTTAAGATAAGCGGGGACGAATGGAGCATAGCAACCGAGTCTCAGTTAACTTCCCACCATGTGAAAGGGTACTTTGTTATTTCTGTTCTGTCTCCGCATATCTTAAAATACCTTCATCATGTTACATGAAAATTTCCTGTTCAGCCTCTGTATAGAAGTCTGAATTGTTACCTTCCATTTCAGTGTATCTGAGGAAGTGTGCGTGCACACAAAGCTCATACCTTGAATAAAACTTTGTTGGTCTTAAAGGTGCCCCACTGGACTCAGACTGTGTTCTAAGAGAATGATGCATTCAAAAAACACCCTAGAATCCTAGAATAAATGGCTACGGTTTTAAAACTGACAGTATCTTGAAGACATGATCAGGGCCGTAGCCGTCAATTTTGATAACCCTCCTTCCTTCCTGTGGCTCTTCCTGCGGAAGGAGAAAGGAAGGTTAGCAAAATCGCTTCAGGATGGCATGGCTTAAACTATGCCTGGCAGGACGGGCCCGGGTGAAGGAGCTTAAGCGGCTGAAAGGGAAGATCCAGCTTTGGTTCCCAAGCGTTTCTAACCACTGAAACGCTTGGGTACCAAAACCAAAAAACACAACCCATTGTGGAGTGCTTGTTTGAAACACCTCAGAGCTGACACGCTATGCCTGGGAACAGAGAACAGCAAAACTGCTCTGGAACTCGCTGCATTGGGGCCAAGATTAGACAAACCAAAACCCTTCTTAATCAGGGGAGGGGGGCTGTGACGTTCAGGACCCACATTCTCAAGCCCGCTGAGGAAGAAACACAGGGGGACCCGTGCTATTTCAGGGGGAGGTGGTTCACTGAGTGGGGGGCACTGGAGATTAGGCCATTTAATTTAATTAGCGGTGCCCCAGCGCGGCCCCTCCAGGCACCCCGATGGCCCGTCTGACAAAAATCCTGGCTATGGGGCTGGACATGATGCTGCCTTATATAGAGTCAGAACGCTGCCCTATCATGGTCAGTATTGTCTACTCTGACTGGCAGCAGCTTTGCAGGGTCTGAGGTGGAGGTCTCTCAACATCAACTGTGAGGTGAGCCTTTTGACTGGAGATGCCGGGGATCAAACCCAGGACCTTCTGCTCCCCAAGCAGCTGTTCAGCCACTGAGCTATGGCCCCACCACTAGTTTTACAACCGAAGGATATATTTACTTACATGTTCATAGTAAGATAAATAGCCAACAGGTAGTAGTGTTCCGGGCCTAGAAGAAACATGAGCGCTGCAGCTATTGCTTCCAAATAGAAGGAAAACAAGACCACCTTATAGTAACCAAATTTCTTCAGCGGAGATTGGCTAATTAGCACAAGGCACTGGAAAATATAGAGAAACATTAAGATACATTGAAACAGTTTAACCTTTTATAGCCTATACAATGCTACATGCATATAGCCTCTGTAGGTGCAAAACAGCTGACTGATCTGCACAGTCTGATATACTAAGTGAGAACTGGAGTAACTCCCCAGGGGCCTGCACCATACGAGTTGGATCCAAAGGCCATTCTTGTTTATTTAAAACATTTACTGGCCAACTTTCGTCCACAATGAGCTCAAGGTGTCTTACAATATGGATAAATAAAATCCATAAAAATTTAAAACCACAATGTAGGACTGCTAGTAAAGGAATCAAAACGCAGCCCTAAATAAAACTGTCTTCAACTGCCTCCTAAATGTCAACAGTGAGGGGGCCAGGCACACCTCCCTGGGGAGGCTGTGGGGCTGCCACTGAAAAGGCCCTTTCTTGAGGGCCCACCAGACAAGCTGTCTTTGATTGGTGGGACAGTCAGGAGGGCCTCTCTGTGCGATCTTAGTTCCCAGGCAGGGCTTTAAACTCTCTCTCTCTGTGAATTAAGCTCCCTAGCCACAAATCACTAACAAAGGGTTTAGAACAGGGGTGTCGAACTCATTTGTGATGAGGGCCGGATCTGATATAAATGAGACCTTCTTGGGCCGGGCCATGTGTGTCATAAAATGTAACGCCAGGTATGGGAGATATAAACTTTATAAAGGACACAAAGGGTTTTTTTAAAACTTAAAATAAAAACATGCTTCAAACATTAGCACTCTTGCAATATTTTGTTTTTTTAACAGTGTCTGATAATTGACACTTCTCACTCTGAATTATTGCCTCAAAATGTCTGTGTTGTTGCAATCGTGAGTATGCTGTTCAGGTGTGTATCTGTAAGCTGCAAACCTACGATGATGCAGCAGCAGCAGAACTGGAAGAAGAAGCAGAAGACAGCCAGTTCCACTGCGGGCCTAATAGAAGCCCTCCAAGGGCCTGATCCAGCCCCCGGGCTGCATGTTTAACATCCCTGGTTTAGAACAGATTGAGTCCAGTGGCACCTTTAAGACCAACAAAGTTGGACTTCCAGTTTTGGCGTTCTCCATGGCGGTCGCTTGTCCCGATCCTCCGGGAGGACTGCCAGAGCCCGCAATGAGGAGGGGGCACAATTGTCCGTGCCACCCCTGGAGCCTCTGTAGGAGGCTCCTAGCCATGGGGCACAAGGCGGCTCTTCCTCCGGCGACCCTGCCGGCAAAGGGGGGCTTTCTCCATGGCCCAAAGGTCCCGCCGTGGAGTGTCCCGAATGGGAATTAAAAGTGCACACCAAAGCAAGCGTTTGGCGGCAAAGTGATTTGTGTAAACAATCTTAAACATGGCGCCCACGAAGAAGGATGAGAAAGACAAACAAGTAAAACCAAAACTTCTTGCCGGAACTGCTGGTCCAGTGAGTCCTGCACCTAGACAGGACACAACTACGGAGTTACAAAAGATGCTGATGGAAGCATTGCGACCCCTGCTGGAACAAGTGAAAGCACTGCACAGCAAATTCGATGCATAGCAATTGCAATTGACTGTAATAGCAAAAAAACAGATAAAACTGAACAAGAAGTAAAAGAAGTGGATACCAACACCAAAAAGCTTAAAAAAAATTACAGGTGATGGAAGAAAAGAGATTTATTTATTTATTTATCATTAGATTTCTAGCCCGCCATCCCTGCAAGCGGGCTCAGGGCGGCTCACAAATAGGGCACATATGCCAATACATTTTTTAAAAATTAAAAACATAAAAACAAATTGAAAAACATAAAAACAAATTTAAAATTGATGGAGGAGTCTCAACTGTTACAGCTACAAATGGAGAGAGCGAGCTATGTCTTAAGATTTCAAGGTGTTCCTGAAGAAGAATCCGAGATTCTGAAACCGACTATGTGTGATGCATTAGGACCTCTGGCAGATATAAAAACGGATACTTTACAAAGCGAAATAGATATGATCTATAGATTTTACAAGAAATATGATCTATAGAATTTACAAGAAAAAATAATCTGCCTGGGGAAGTGATTATAAGATTCTCTAGAAGACAAGTGAGAGATCAAATTCTCAAAGCAACAAATGGATCTACCTTGAAGATCAAAGACAAAGAAATAAAAGTATTAAAGGACATCCCATTTGAAATAAGAAGGAAGAGGAGGAAATACAGAGACTTGGTGATATTTTTACATAAGAAAAACATCCCCTACAGATGAGTAGTACCCGAAGGTACAATCTTCAAATTTATGGATGGGAAAGAAAAAATTGACTCTGTTGAAAAGGCACGAGAATTTCTGCGTCTACATAGTCATCCATTAGGAGAGGTTGAAGCTGAGAAAGAGGACAGCACCAAAGACAGCGAAGAAGAAGGAGCAGCGGCATCTTCAGACAAGGACTCAGAATATAAATTAGAGGCAGCTGCCCTGAAGACAAGCTATCATTTGAGAAAGCCAAAGTATAAAAAATAAGATGTTATCACATTCTGAAAGCTCTTAAAATGTATTGTTATAAGCAGAGGTCAATTCGGGGGGGATCGCCGTTCCCCCGGGTGAGGTGCGGGGGGCAGGGCACACGACGAAGCCCCGCCCCCTGCTTCTGGCTGCCCCGCTTTCGGCCCTCATTCAGCCAGGAGGAGGCAGGAGAAGAGGGAGGGTAAGTTGCTTCCTCCCCGCCTCTCCCCACCCATGCCTGCCTGGGGCCAGTGAGCCTTCGTGGGGCTTCCTCGCACTCCCATCGGCCTTGCAGGTCCACCGCCGGGCCCCTCATGATGGTGGAGCTGCAAGGCCAGCGGCGGTGGCCGGGACCATTGGGGGCGGGGTTTTTTGGCAGGGCTTCTCCGCGCTCCCGCCGGCCTCGCAGCTCCACCGCCGAGCTCGACAGGGGCTTGGCGGGAGCTGAAACCAGGGCGGCTGCCAGAATTGATGGGGGGAGAGTGAGAACAAAGTATAAATGCCTGGATTTTCTGTGTGTTTTCCGTAGCAATGTGGTCATCGGCCCCCATGCTTGGTTTATAGCTGTTTTGGTTTATAGCTGGTCTTGGTTTATAGCTGTTTTTTCTCCCTGGAATCTCTCCTTTTTACCTAGCATGGGTGGTTTGCTTGTTTTCCCCCACATGTGCCATCAGATAGGCTCGCCAGCTCTGAGTTGGCAATACCTTGGAGATTTTGGGGGTGGAGCCTGAGTGGTGGATTTAGCTTCAGAGGAATTAGCTGTGTTAGTCTGTTGCTGCAAAATAGTCCAAGAGTTCAAATAGCACCTTTAAGACTAACAAATAGCACCTTTAAGACTAACCTTTAAGACTAAGACTAACTGAGTGGTGGGTGTGGCCTTATGACACACTTCCAGTGATGGCAGGGGGTGTGGCATATTCTAATGAGTTATGCTAATGAGTTCCCCTAGCTCTTTTTCTACGAAACGACCCCTGCCCCCAAGTGCCCCCGATGTGCAGATTTAGATATCCGCACAGAGGGGGCATGTTGGGAATTAGATATACAAGAAAGGGGACCCACGATCAATGCTCCCTCTAAGCTGTGAGCAAAAACTCTACTTTATGAGCTACTGGCATTCAAGTTGTGAGCGAACGATTTGGCTACTGCATACATTAGTTTGCTCTGGAGCCATCCTTCCCGAGCTAAGACAAAAATCTGTGAGCCGGAGGCTAAGAAACTGTGAGCTGTTGCGTTTTCCAAATTTGCTGGCAAATGGAGTGCAGCACTTTAACAGCATCATCTTCTAAGACTTTGAATAGCTCAGCTGGAATACCATCACCTCCACTAGCTTTGTTGTTAGCAATGCTTTCTAAGGCCCATTTAACTTCACATTCCAGGATGTCTGGCTCGAGGTCAGTGATTATACCGTCGTGGTTGTCAAGGACATCGAGGTCTTTCTTGTATAGTTCTTCTGTGTATTCTTGCCATCTTTTCCTAATCTCTTCTGCTTCTGTTAGGTCCCTACCGTTTTTGTCCTTTATCATGGCCAGCTTTGCATGGAACGCTCCCTTGATTTCTCCAATTTTCTTGAAGAGATCTCTAGTCCTTCCCATTCTATTGTTTTCTTCTATTACTTTGCACTGTTCATTCAGGAAGGCCTCCTTATCTCTCCTTGCTGTTCTCTGGAAATCTGCGTTCAGTTGGGTAAATCTTTCCTTTTCGCCTTTGCCTTTCGCTTTCCTTCTTTCCTCTGCTATTTGTAAAGCCTCATCAGAAAGCCATTTTGCTTTCTTGCATTTCTTTTTCTTTGGTATGGTGGTGATTGCTGCCTCCTGTACAATGTCACGAACCTCCGTCCATAGTTCTTCAGGCACTCTATCTATCAAATCCAGACCCTTGAATCTATTCTTCACCTCTACTGTATATTCATCAGGGATGTGATCTAGGTCAAACCTGAATGGCCTCGTGGTTTTCCCGATTTTCTTCAGTTTAAGTCTGAATTTTGCAATGAGTAGCTCATGATCTGAACCACAGTCAGCTCCAGGTCTTGTTTTTACTGACTGGATAGAGCTTCTCCATCTTTGACTGCAAATTATATAGTCAATCTGATTTCGGTGTTGCCCATCTGGTGATGTCCATGTGTAGAGTCGCCTCTTAGGTTGTTGGAAAAGGGTGTTCGCTATGACCAGTGTGTTCTCTTGACAAAACTCTGTTAACCTTTGCCCTGCTTCATTTTGCTTTCCAAGGCCAAACTTGTCTGTTATTCCGGTTACCTTTTGACTTCCTACTTTAGCATTCCAGTCCCCTATGATGATGAGGACATCATTTTTTGGTGTTAGTTCTAGGAGGTGTTGTAGGTCTTCATAGAACCGGTCCACTTCAGCCTCTTCTGCATCAGTGGTTGGGGCATACACTTGAATTACTGTGATGTTGAATGGTTTGCCTTGGAATCGGACAGAAATCATTCTGTCATTTTTGAGATTGTATCCCAGTACTGACTTTTGCACTCTCTTGTTGACTATAAAGGCCACACCATTTTTTCTATGAGATTCCTGGCCACAGTAGTAGATATAATGGTCTTCTGAGTTAAATTCGCCCATTCCTGTCCACTTTAGTTCACTGATTCTGAAGATATCGATGTTCAGTCTTGACATCTCATTTTGACCACGTCAAGCTTACCTTGATTCATAGATCTTACATTCCAGGTTCCTATGCAGTATTGTTCTTTGCAGCATCGGACTTTCCTTTCACCATCAGACACATCCTCAACTGAGGGTCCTTTCGGCTTTGGCCCAGCCGCTTCACTCTTTCTGGGGTTACTTGTACTTGCCCTCTGCTCTTCCCCAGTAGCATATTGGACACTTTCCGACCTGAGGGGCTCATCTTCCGACGTCATATCTTTTAGCCTTTTGATACTGTCCACGGGGCTTTCTTGGCAAAGATACTGGAGTGGGTTGCCATTTCCTTCTCCAGTGGCTCACACTTGGTCTGAGTTCTCTGCTGTGGCCTGTCTGTCCTGGGTGGCCCTCCATGGCATAACCCACATCCTCATCGAACCACGCAAGTCCCCTCGCCACGTCAAGGCAGTGATCCATGAGGGAGTTGTAGTTTATAGAAAATGCAAATTAAAAAATCTCCTACGGAGAGCGCGCACACACAAAAAACCACAACAAAGTTTAATTCTGGGTATAAGCGTTCGTGTGCACCCACACAGAAGTGTGGGTGCACACGAAAGCTTATACCCAGAATTAAACTTTGTTGGTCTTAAAGGTGCCACTGGACCCAGACCAACACAGCTACCCACCTGAATCTAACAAAGGCTTTGTTTTGCAAGGTAAATCTAATAAGGTGAATCTAACAAAGGCTTTGTTTTGCAAGACGGTACATAATTACTCTTAGCAAGCAGCGCAAGCAAATGATGGAATCCTGCCCCAAACCAAGACATTCTCCTGCAAAAGAAGATGGGCTTTTATGCATACCTGAGGACAAATGAAACCTGCCCCGTACATGATGCTGCGGACAGAAGAAGAAAGGACGTCCTTAGGGATGAGGTTGTCTGCAAAGATCATCATGAAATTGCTGCAGAAAGCCAAGTGGAAGACTTGAAAGAAGTTCATGGTCACAAAGAGCAAGAAATTTCTCTGGGTCAAGATCTGCTTGGTCAACGAAATTATGGAGGACCACGAGAAGAGTCTCTCAGCACTTTCTCCCTCACTGCCTTCCAGGAGACTTTCCCTTTGTTCATACTGTGTGGTGCTATAGATTCCCGTGTAGCACATGCAAGCGGTCGCTGTTGCACCAACTAGAACCACAAAGACCTGAAAATGGGCAAAGTTCTCCATATTATTGGATATCAAGCCGCAGAAGAGGATGCTGGTGGACCCAACTAACGTGGCCACTTGGTTGTACTTGATGAGCTGAAGCCTGCTCTCGTGTCTGGTGGACGATTCCGCAAAGAGAGCACACTGCGCCAGCAAGACAAACGTCAGCATGCCGTCGAAAGCACACAGAGCGACCACGAGGTGAAGCCCGCTCAGCCAGTCACCTTCTCGATACTGTTTCCATGGGAACCAGGGGAGCAGAAAGGCCAGACCGTACAAAGGAGCCCCGTAGAAAATGGAAGCCTGGCGCCTGGAGCAGCATGGGGCTTTGGCGTTGTCTTGAATATAGCCGAAGAGAGGGTCATTGATGGCGTTCCAGATCATAAAAACAACCTGGGGAGTCAAACAAGTTAGTAGATGTTTAAACCTGTTCTGACTGCATTAGGACCCTAATACATGGTGCCCACCTATGACTCTCCTGGTGCCTGCCAATGTTTTTAGGAACCGGACAGGGCCAGGTGGGCTTTTTGCACTGCAAGGCGTCTATTTGCCAATGGAGATCCGATTGGCTGTACAGATTTTTAAAAGGATTGCTTTGGCGGCAGCAACTACCACCACCACCGCACGAGGATCTTAACTGCGTAACTGAAGGTTAGCTGGGGGCAGACATTTTTGTGGCTGACTTTGCTTTCTGAGGCGGCCACTTTGCGGCTGTGCCCACCACGCTGTGTCAGAATTCCTAAGGTGCCTGCAGGTGCCAAAAGGCTGGGGATCCCTACTTGGTACGAACAAATGTAAAAAGAGGAAAACTGACTAGAATCTGCAGACATCTGATCAATTGACAGTGCATGAAATAAAGGAAGCATAAGTGTTGGATGCAGTTCCGGGAGTTGGGGAACCACTTTTTCAGAGGGAAACAGGAGACGATGCTGCACACTGCGGTTGCCAGCTCTGGGCTGAGAAACACTGTAGATTTGGGAGGGTGGCGCCTGGGAAGGGCAGGGACCTCAGCAGGGTATGATGCTGTAGAGTCCACCCTCTAGAGCAGCCATTTTTTTTCCAGGTGAACTGATCTTGGTCATCTGGATATCAATTGTAATAGTGGGAGATCTCCAGGTGCTACCTGGAGGCTGGCAACCCTACTGCATGCTTATCAGGGCTAAAATTAGACACAATGTGTGAGTCCCCACAGGGTTTCCTTTGGCAATCTCAGCAGCAGTTTGTTTAAACAGCTCTTGAGCCAAATTTCCAAGACGCTTTTAAAACTTCATAGTATTGACGTGAACATCTATAAGGGAAGGCATTCTTAATAAGCAGTCTAGTGAGATGCAGTTATTGCAAATAGGTCCTCTGATCTGTAGTTTTCTTAAGTGTAGCTGAAGCAGTGACCAATTTTAAAAGTAATTAAATAACAGCAGATTAAAACTCTGCGTAAGAACCCACACAATGGACTCTGTGATCAAATTAGCAGACCCCCAAGATACAGCAAGTGCAAGCTATAAAGGTAGCGGTAATCACAGCAATGGAGAATTGCAGGAAAATGGACTCATGCAAAGATTTAGAATTGAAAGTCTTACAGGGGAAAAGTCAATGGCTTTTAGTGAAAAGAGACTGGTCATCCAGTAAGTTTCACATGGGGGTGTGTGTGTGTTTCTGAACGCAAGCAGTTTAGTTAGACCTAGACTGTTAAGAACTGTAGAGAGCTCTGAAGCTCAGCCAACAAAACTCACAAGTAGGAAGACTTAAAAACAAACCCTGCAAGGGATCAAGCGTCTGCTTCCCCAGGATGAGGAAGAACGCCTTAAAAAAACTCCACACTCAGACTTGAAACCTGCTCTGCTCCAAGACCTCTTAGGGCAGGTCTTCCGGCATCTCTGGTGAGCAAAGCTTGTGGACTGCAGGTCCTACGGCAGAGCCCCCAAGGAGCCCAATGGCAACTAGTTTTTAAATCTACAGGTGCTACACTCCCACTTCCCAGCCTGTCTCACGCTTGAAAGGGCCTCTACTTCAATACCTGTTGGGCACTCAAGGGTAATCTCCAGCACCCTCCCAGGACCAGGGAGCACTCCCGCACTGGGGCACCCGATCTTCCCACCACAATAGGTCAACAATGGGAATTGCAGAGGTTCTGCTTTAACTGCTCAGATCACTTAGAACAATGGGCTCTCAAGCTTAACAGTCACAGTTCAGCCAAGAGAGCCAGTCACTGGCCGGTCACCACCAACACAGGTTCCAGGACTGCTTCCAGGCATGGGATTCCCCCTCAGATCTTCCAGCACTGTTCCCTTCTTGCCGGGTTAAGCCTACAGGCAGCCAAATTGCTAAATCTCCCAAGACAACCACTACCAGCTGCACTCCTGGCCAGGAATGACATATCCCCAGCCCCAGGGAAGTTCTAGTCTCCACCAGTGTTCCCTCTAAGCTGAGTTAGAGTGAGCTAGCGCACAGTTTTTTAGCTTCCAGCTCACACATTTTTGTCTCAGCTCAGAAAGGAGGGCTCCAGAGCAAACTAATTTATGCAGCAGCCAAATCGCTCGCTCACAACTTTAATGCCAGTAGCTCACAAAGTAGAATTTTTGCTCACAAGACTTCACAGCTTAGAGGGAACATTGGTCTCCACAGACTACAACTATCCCAGGGCCTAACCAGAAGCTCTTCTTCCTGACTGGGCTCAACCAATTACTAGCAGGTCAACTTCCTCCTGGTGGGGGCTTTTACTCCACTTTTGGCCATCCCCCCAGCAGTGTTCCCTCTAAGCTGAGCTAGTTTTTAGCCTCCGGCTCACAGATTCTTGTCTTAGCTCAGGAAGGATGGCTCCAGAGCAAACTTATTTATGCAGCAGCTGAAACACTTGCTCACTGGCTTTAATGCCAGTAGCTCACAAAGTAGAATGTTTGCTCACAAGACTCTACAGCTTAGAGGGAGCATTGCCCCCCAGTAGCTGCTTCCCTTAGCTTACTCCTAAGCAGGCCCTTTTTCTCAAGAAGATCTCTACACCAGAGGAGGCCTTTACCCCATAGGGAGCTAGTGCTGTCTGTCATTTCTCCCATCTGCTCCTTAGTTACCTTTGGAGACTTGCCTTGGCCTTCCCTCGGCTCTACAGCTACAGGGTTGTTGCTTCCTCCAGAACTACCCCTGTACCACCCTTCTCCCCAGATATTAGGGGTGTGACAAGGACCCTGAAACGCAATTGGGCTCCCTCTCCTTTTCTTCTGAATCCATCTCCACGAGTACGGCCATAACAGTAGGCGTCCCAACACTGATAGGCATCCTGCATTGTCCCTGGTAGTATCTGCAGCTACTCCTCTATTGCTGTTACATGTGCCTTTAATGGTATCACTTGCCTTGTGACATTTTTGCTTAATTCCTGAATTCAAAAAGAATCACCTGCTGTAAATCAAAGACCAGACATAACAATGGAAGAATTAACATTCACTGTACCTGTGCTTGATGGAACGCACCTTCCGAGATCTTGTATTGGTTCAAAAACAGTTTAACGTAGTAGAAATTAAATATGCTGTTCATCATTCCTGCCCCTAATGTGGTCATGGAGTAAGCGACGGCGTTTGGATGGATTCTTGAAATAAACTTCATTTTTACAATGTGGTATTTTTCTTCTCTTAGGAGAGGAGGGGAGGAAAAACAATATTTTGGTACAACAGTTCAAGCAAGCCAATTAATACCACAGTGTGACTGAAAAGACTGTTTATTTTTATGTTGTTTCACACTGGCTGAATCAAGGAGAATATTATCAGAGCACAAACATCTTTGTATAATTAGACGCTTCCCATGTTCCACAAGAGGGCAACACTTCCACACCTATTTACCCCTATCCGGCAACGTCCCACAAGGCTGTTCACAGTGTTCTACAGGCAAATAAGAGCAGCTCCTCAGCACTTATGTCAATAGTGAAATCTGTATATTTTCACTAGTAGTAATTATTCCTGTCTCATCATGAGTTACAGTCAGATGGAACAAGTTACAGCTAGGTCACAAAAGTTACAGTCAAGTGGAAAATGTGAAGTACCACCTGGGTAGTTAAACATGCTTTGGTCCTAGACCCACATTTCTCTTGCCCTCTCTGCCTCCTGATGTCTTCAAGTACAGGAATCAATCAGGGAAGGAAATTTGTAAAGCACTCTTCTAATCAGGACTGGGGTCAAAGACCAGCTTGTATCCTAGTGCCCCCGTTCAACAGAGTCTGAAACTATCCTCCTGACTAGGGAGCCTGTATTTTGAACACATGCATACAAGGGGAAAGAAATTGAGGAAGGTACAGTTTATCCTGGAGGGATGAGAAAGCTACTGGCACAAATTCCCCCTTCTGCATAATTGGTAATAGGCACAAAAGGTCCTGTTCTCCTCTGTTGACTGTTCTGTCCCATCTTAATTGGGAAATCGCTTACTAAACCTGATTTAAAGAACACAGGACTTCATGTAATTTGGTGGTCTCTGCTGAATTTCTCCCATGGAATAGACCGCCTAAAACATACCCCTCCCTGAAAACCTTCAAGAGACCTGTTGGCACCTTATGGACCAGCTAGTGTAAGGTGGCTTTTGTGGACTAGAGTCCCCTTTTAACAGAGGCATTACTTGCTATCATTCAATTTCCTCTTCCTCCTCATTCACATTCCTGGTCAACCAAGCTTTTCATTGACACTTCATCCCACCAGTTTTAATATTTCACGGTTTATTTCCTGCCAGCTGATACGGACACTTTTTATGACTGTTTTATATTGCTGTGGCGTTCTTATGATGGTAGCTGCTGAATTTGGGGAGACGGTTCTATCACTGAGGGAGGGGGCTGCTAGTTTTATCGGGCTCTTTTAACTGATAATTTTCTGTTGGATTTTCAGTTGAGGGTCATTGTTTTCAAAAAATCTGCCTTGAGCAGGTCACTAGGGAGCTGTCAGACAGATTCCCTAAATAAAGACCATAAACAATGAGACCCCCAAAGTTGTGAAATTAAATGCAAGACATACACATTTCTAGGAAAGGCTCAAAAGTATAGAAGTTATTTACAGATTTATCACTTTACAATCTGCTACTTTGTACTTACACAAATAACACAATGCATTCATTAAAATATTAATCTATACATTCTATAGCTTTATCAAGATGCATTTTCAAAGGGAAAGAAAGAAGATTGCAAAGGTTATACAAAGGTTAGAGAGAGAGCTAGGTGACTAATATTGCAACTCTAAACAGTTACACGCTTTTAAGGCTATTCAAGTCAATGGGCATAGAAGAGTATAACTCTTTTTAGGATGGAACTGTAAAATATTGAGCAGAAAAGGAATAGGTCTGGATCTCTACAGGGATTTGATAACTAGCCCACTGCCTGCCTCCCATCAATACGCGTAGCCAAATGATCTCTCACATGCTTCACCTCCTCAAATACATTTAGGCTGCTCCGAAATACACAGGGCGGTGCAGTGGCCAGCGCTTCAGACTAGGGTCTGGGGACCCACGTTTGAACCCCACTCTGCCATGGAAGCTGACTGAGTCGCCTTGGGCCAGGCCAGGCACTCTTTCTAAGCCTAACCCTCCTCGCTGGGTGGTTGTTTGTGAGGATAAAATGGAGGTGGGGAGAACAAGGGAAATATTGTGCTACTGGATTGTATGGTTTTACACTGTATAATCTGTCTTGATCTCACCGGCTATAAACAGCACATCAATGTAAGCTGCTTTGGGGGCCCAATCCACTCTTCCATGCTTCAGCCCTCAAATCTACCTAGATCTTAAAACAGACTCCTTGCAGCCAGTGTTCCCTCTAAGCTGAGTTAGTGTGAGCTAGCTCACAGTTTTGTAGCCCCCGGCTCACACGTTTTTGTCTTAGCTCAGGAAGGATGGCTCCAGACAGAGCAAACTGATTTATGCAGTAGCCAAATCACTCACTCACAACTTTAATCCCAGCAGCTCACAAAGTAGAATTTTTGCTCACAAGACTCCACAGCTTAGAGGGAGCATTGCTTGCAGCCCAATATCTCATCTATTCAGATGCAAGTCCCACGGCTTTCAATGGCACTTGCTCCCCAGTTAAGAGTGTTGCAGGATCGTAGCCTTACACTGCAAATCCCAAACGGGTTTACTCAGAATCCGACTCAAGCCTTCTCAGAGGGGATCAGGTCCCAGCAAGGGGTCCTCCTTAGACCTGCTCAGTTAGCCATTTGCGGGAGCTAGGGTTGCCAACCTCCAGGTGGTAGCTGGAGATCTGCTATTACGACCAATCTCCAGGCGACAGAGATCAGTTCATCTGAAGAAAATGGCCACTTTGGGAGATGGACTCTATGACATTGTACCCTACTGAAGTCCCTCCCCTCCCCAAACCCTGTCCCCTCAGACTCCACCCCCCAAATCTCCAGGTATTTCGCAACCTGGAGCTGGCAACCCAAGCGGGAGCCCTCTTTATGCCTCTGAGGCGGGAGGATCAGGCCCACGCAAGCGTCGACCAGGCTCGTCATTGTTTATACGAGGTGGGAGGAGAAACCGAAGAGGCCCCTTGACTGCACGGCTTACTTCAGAGTAAACACGCTGCCGGCGGACCTCCCAATCCCAGCTGAGGCCTAGCCCCTAACAACCGACGACTGGCAGCCCATAGCAACCGCGCGACCCTCCCCCCGCTCTCCCTCCCCCCCGCTTACAACCTCAATCAACTAACCGGCCCCTTCAGTCGTAGGCGAATCGGAGGGCGGGCCTCTCAAATCCCCGCCTCCCTCTCCAGATCCCGTTGGTCTCCCCGCATCCCATTGGCTCCGAGCCGCCCCAGGCGCCTCCGACCGCGGCCTGCCATTGGCTCCTCTCAAGACAGGCTCCGGGGGGGGAGGTCTCGTCGTTTTAAATCGCCGGCCGCCCCAACCGGCGTGCCACGTTGCTGCGGCGGTTGGCTTCTGTTGTCCGCCAGTGATGCCGGGCTGGGTCGGGAGGGGCGGTGGCTGCCGGCGCGTTCGGCAGAGTCCGGAAAGGGTCGGGCGGGTTCGGAAGAGGGCTTTTTGAAGGTGCCCGGGCGTGAGGAGGCGCGTCAGAAAGGGGGCCGCCGCCGCCTGTCCTTGAGGGGGGGAGCCGTGGCCGGGCCCCCGGACGACGCGATGCTGACCGACAGCCTGGTGGAGGAGTTCGAGATACGAGAGGATGAGCCTTGGTACGACCAGCAGGACTTGCAGCAAGGTGAGGGAGCCCGCGGGGTGGGACGGCGGGGCTGGCGAGGGACAATAGGCAGGGGTGGAGGCTGGGGGACCCGGGAGGAGGGAAGGGAAGGAAGATGGATGAGGCGTGATGTTTCTAACGTGGAGGGAGACAGAACCTGGGAGAAATGAACGTGGAGAGGGTCCAGCGAAGCGTTGTAGGGGGCATCTTGAGTATGGGGCGCACCGCATCTCCCCTCTTGAGTCATGTCCCCCCATAGATAACGGTGCCTCTGAGCATAACAAGAGTGGGCGGGGGGGGGGCTCTGAGACTCCCCGCTTCGACCCCTCCGTGGTGCTTCACACTTCCAGGAAGGTGCCTCAGAGCACAGGAATGTCCCGAGGAGGGCTTATAGAGGGTTGGGCTCTCCCTTTTTGGTACGAAAATCTTTCCCCACCCCAGGTACCTCAGAGCATAATGGAACTGGGTTGGGAAAAAGAAGCTGAGTGGGGTGTGTGTGTGTTTCTCCTTTATTTTATTTTGCCGCATCAGTTTTCTTCCCTAAGCGCCTTATAGTATCCTTTCTCCCTTTTATCCTCGGTGCAACAGCCCTGTGAGGTAGGTGAGGCTGAGAGTGTGTGAATGGCCCGAGGTAACCCAGCCAGCTTCCATGGCATGGGTGGAAATTTGAACCCAGGTCTCCCGGATCCTAGTTCAACACTGGGACCCGGAGTCTCCCCACTTTGGAAACTTTCACTCACCAAGCAAGTTGTTTTAAGGTTTGGAATAATGAGAATGAGTGAGGCAGAAAAGGTGTTGTCAGCCTTTGGACCCCCCCCCCCCCCCAAGGTGAATGGGATGGAATTGGCAGCGTGAAGGTATTGTTCATGTTTATGGTGCTGAGATGGTGCTGAGACTTTGTGATGGAGCCTTTGGAAGGAGTGTGGGTGATGCAGGATGAGGGAAGAGCGCTTAAGAAAGTGGGAAGGGAAAAGGCTGTTAAGTACTATTCCAGTGGCATGGATGCAAGGACCTTTAAATCCAGTTAACGGCTTTACGGGCAGGAAAGTCAGTCAGCTGGTTTTGCATCAACAGGGAGTATTCCCAAGCTGTCGCAGACTTGGGAAGTAGGTTGCATCGAACTTGGTGGGATTTAAACTTCTGCATAAGCATGTCGCAAAGAGTCGGACTCGACTGTGCGACTGAACAACAACAACAATAGGCATGTGTAGGATGGAGACTGTTAAATGTGCTTCTGGATTGCCCCGTTCAGAACAGCCAGTATCCACCCTTTTTTGGCCTCATTTGCAAGAAGCCATAATTCGTGTTTGAATCCCAGTGCTGTGTGTGTTGGTTTCTGCCCAAACGAGGTTCTTGGTACATTTATAGTAACACATGCAGACCTGGCAATGGAGAATAGTACTTTGTGTGTGTGTGTGACAGAGTGGGCTCCGGCTCCAGCTCCAGAAAGCTTGTGTTGCAATAAGGTTTAGTCTTCAAGGTGCCACAAGAGTCTTTGTATTGAAGCTGGACCAAGCCTTGGGAGTGGTTCTACATTAATTTCAGCTGAACTGGAGAGCCGATGTCCTTCTGCTTTCTACTCAGGCTTCCAAGAAATTGCCTTCAAATTAAATTAAAACTCTCTTGTTGCAATTTAAGCTAGAGCAGTGATCTTATAAATATGCCGTGAAGCTGGCTGAACTATACACTGCTGAAATGCTTGGATATATACAAAAGAGCAGCCAGTGAGGCACAGAAGATGTATGGAGTGTGTGGGAGAGTTGTGGAGGCAGGGAACAGAGAGCCCTTTTTTATGGCAGATGAAGTATTAAAGAGCCGCTCAGTGCTTGGCCGTGTCCAGGATGGAGCATTATACTTTGCCTTATACCTCAGAGGCCATCAGGTGTAGCATCATCATAAAACTCTTGTGATAACATCACCTCTGGATGTTAGAAATAGAGCTTGCCTTAAATGCTGAGAGGCATTTCCCCCAGTCAGTTTAATACTGGCTTTCAAAGGAGTCAGTATGAAGCATCCTTAATCATTTGGAGAGTCCCTTGTACTGGCTCTTGAAGTTGTGCTGCCTTGACATAAGCCAATAAATTCTTTTACTTGCTGTTTGCACACAAACAGGGTGCTGGTGGTGCCTTGAACCACCCCCATTCATTGGCTGTTTGGAACTGAAAGCGTTAGAAATAGTGAATGTCTGAGATGGACTCATACAGTCAAAATGGAGCGGTCTGTTACACCATTGTTTGAAGCCCCGTTAATGAATGTCTGCTTGAACTTTGTCCCTCCTGGGTGTGCTGAAGATCTAATTTTATGCCATCCAATTATTCTCATGGCAATCTTCCAGTTAAATGGGCAGTTACAAGCTGAAGAGATACACTTCATAACAAATCAAATACATATTCTGAGCCTCTTCAGTGAAAAATGGTATGTCCTTTGAAAGAATTGGCTAGGCATATTGCATCCAGAACATTGCTCTGTACTTTCATCCCTCTAAATTGAGAATAAAAATGTGTGCCTTTGCTTTGGTCTGTTTTAGGCTTTAGTGCCAAGTAAAAGTTGGGGCTGGGAGAGAAATAAAAATATTGCATTTAATACAGTGTTATTTAAATAACTACTGAACAGCGTTGGTTTCCTTTATATTGTTATACTTTGTAATGCTTGCAATGTGAAATTTGACTCATTTTGCTGTCTTAGACAGCACAACTGTGGTTTGCTACCACAAGGCTGTTTAAAAAAGGTGACATTACGAATGGGTTTTGGTTTCTAGAAATATTTTCTCAATTAATCTGGGTTGGGAATGTCAGTGGCAAAAGAAGAAAAGGCTGCTGCTTTTCATAGAGATACTGTTTTCTTCTGAGTATCTTTCTGTCTTAGAACATAAGCCTAATGCTTTTCTTGAAAGGGATAATCAGGTAATATCTTGGAATGTATGTAGAGCAAATCTGAGCAGAAACTTGGGGATTTTGAAAACCATGCCTGTCTTGCTAAAATATAGACTTCAGGTTTTCGGTACCTGAATGTAGGCATATTTCTCTACGACACACCTCTAGCTGAAAGCTGCTCCCCACCACCCCAACTATTAGGGTCAGATGGTGGAAGCACCCCTCCGTCTTTGCCTAGACTGGGCTGCTGTTGAGGATGACTTTTATCAGGTTTATCATTTCGCTTGTCTGTCAGCCAGTTTAAGAATGATTATGCTGATAAGCAGCATATAAATGTCATCAAGCTCTTTAGGAGGCCTGTTATTAAAATGTGGATCCAGACAATGGGTGTGATCTAGTGTCTGACTTTCCCTGTTACAGCAGCAGTGTTGGCGCAACTTGCTCATTACTTAATTGCTGTTCAGTGTAAATGCAAGGTAGGTTTGTTTTGCCTTGAAAGCTCTAGATGTAACAATTATAACATAATTAGAGGCAGATGCACATTTCCTAATTGGCTAAAGAGTACTGCATGATGTTAGAGATATGTAATAAATAGTGTTTAATTTTTGGAACTGAAGAGACATGCACAAGGCTTGCATATGGTCCAGTCAGTCTTGCAAGGTGACCAATTTCTGGTGGTGGTGTGGCTTTTTTGATCCTTAGCTCTCTCCATGGTAAAGCTTACATGTACTTAATAATGTCAATAGGTGTTATTAAAATCCCTTGCACATTTTAGTGCCAAACCTAAGTGTGAATGTATACACTAAATGTTTGATTGTGGGCAAAATTAACCTCTACTCTTGGAACTTATCTAATGGGTGTGTGGCAAAAATTAATTGTGCTTGTTTGCTGTATGCAAAGAAGTTGGGTGGGTTGTAGCAGAGCCAGTTTGGTGTAGTGGTTAAGTGTGCGGACTCTAATCTGGGAGAACCGGGTTTGATTCCCCACTCCTCCACTTGCACCTGCTGATGTGACCTTGGGTCAGTCACAAGCTCTGGCACAGCTGCCCTTGAAAAAGAGCAGTTTGTGTCAGAATTCTCTCAGCCCCACCTACCTCACAGGGTGTCTGTTGTGGGGAAGGGAAAGGAGTTTGTAAGCCGCTCTGAGACTCCAAGTGAAGGGCGGGGTACAAATCCAATCTCTCTCTTCTCTTCTCTTCTTCTTCTACTTGGCGCAATGTGTTTTTCAAAGGGTGGTGGTACTAGAAATAAGTACATCTTGGAAGGGCTTCAAACTGTTCACCGGTTTTTCATCCCGCAGTGGTGTATTGAAGAGAGAACTTGTTTGAGTGAATTTAAGCATTTAAGCAAGAATTTAGCAAGAAGAATAAACCAAAAGTGTGTTAATCTTAATTTACAGGATTAATCCAGGTTCTGTTGCTCTTCATTGCCAGTTTGTCAAACAGTTGTACAGTCACTGTTCTAGATCACCTTAAAACCAAACTGCACATAACTCATTTTTAGATCTCTATCTTGCTGCTGAACTTGGGAAGACTCTGCTGGATCGGAACACAGAGTTGGAGACATCACTGCAGCAGATGTATGCAACCAACCAAGAGCAGCTACAAGAGATAGAGGTAAATCCTGAAAAGCAAGGATGGATAACAAGTGTCCCTGATAAAGTTGTGGGGACATTACATGGTTGCTGTTCTGGAAGAGCTGTTTTGATGCAGGAGTGAGAAGATGGAGCTCCAGATTGCAAGTTCTCACTCTGCCACGAACCCACTAGGCTTCCATAAACTAGCCACTTGTTCCCAGCTCCCAGTGGCAATACTTTCGTTTTTTAATTTGTTGTCTGCCTTTCTCATTGAGACTCAAGGCGACTTACACAATGTAAATCAGTGCAATGAACAGAGTGAAACATCTGATAAAGTAATAAGATTACAGAAATCTGAAAACAAATTTTAGACATGATATACTAAAAATGCCAACAAAGAAAAATTAAATGGGTTGAAAGACCGATGGTGTAGTGAGAGGACGAATATGGGTATGATGATCTTGTTGTGATCTTTATGTAGAGCAGGCTGGTATGTGAAGTACTTCAACCACAGTGCATTGCCAGACTGCTAAAGGTTACGAGTTTTTAATGACAACCTTAAATTTTAGTGCATCCCAAGGGGGAGAGACTGTCGGCAGTATATAACACGGTTAGGTTTTGTGTAAACTTCTGCTCCCTTTGCTTTATGAGCTAGATTAGATTAATACGCATTAAAGGTATGTGTAAACTGCAGCACACTGTGTTCAACCGACCAGTGTATTAATTTTGAAAGTTATTTTTATTTCCACCCTATTCTATTTTTGGTAGGGCCCGAAAGTGGGACTGAGTGACCCCCCCAAGATGGGCCAGTGAAGTTCCACGGCAGAGTGAGGGTTCAAACCTGGGTCCCTCAATTATGGTCCGATGCACTAACCTTGCACCCCTACTGGTTCCGCCCGTCTAAGTTAACTGGCTCTCCCTATTGAAGTGTGGGCAATTCACACATGTTGCCTATTCCTTCACTGAAGGGTTTGTGCAACTGAGGTGATGGCATAACCTAAAAGACATCTTGTACAAATGTAAAGACTAGCACATTTCTTGTAGGATCAGCTTGCGTGGCTACAGGCTATTTTGCGTGGCTGTAGGCTACTGTTACTACACACAAGGGGATCAGCACAGTAGTTGAGTCACCTCTATACCAAACTCAAGCACGGTGATTCTGAACAGCCATAACTAAATTTAAGCCCTTGTTAATACAGTAAAATCTATTGCTTAATCCTTATTGTAGGATGTATAGCTGCTGTATCTGTTAATCTTTGTGGTGCCGTAAGACTTGTAACTAAAGTGCATACCGCTGAAGAGCTATGATTCCTTGCAATGAATAAGTATTGCACATTTAACATTAAAGAAAATTGAAACTAACATCTGAAGACAACTGTAGGCTTATTTATATCATGTTCTGGCACTAAAGTGTGGGGGGGGGGCTGGGGAACATTTGAGATGATGCAGGGGAGCACACAGGACCAATACAAAGCACCTCATTTGGCCTCTGCTTTTGGCTGTATAGCAGGTTAAATACACAAAAACAAACATAAAATCCAGTTTGCTACTAAGTTCTAAGCAATGTTCAAGCTGATCATATGCTTATTTACTCACATATCCCACTGGGTTTAATGGGGTTTATTCCCAGGCAAATGTGCCTGGAATCATTGCCTTATACTGAGTAAGACCACTTGTTAGTCCAGTCCAGCCTTGGTTGTTGAGTGGCCGTTGATTTCAGGTAGCAACACTAGTCAAGGCAAGCTCTCAGGGATTTGTACCTGGGTGTGCCAGCATCTCAACTCCTGAAGTGCTGCTCCTTGGGGACAGGACAGCAAGCATCTGGAACTGGGGGTCTATTGGAGGGAGAGGCTAAAGACATTCTCCTTCCGTGGGATGTAAATTACTGTTCTTGGAAAACTACTCAGGCCTCTTGTCTTTTGTAACAAATTCTTTTCAATTGGAATTTTGAACTAAATGTTTTACTAACACACGTAACAGCAAATGTGTGGTGTTTACAAGACGTTCAAATACTACGCACCATGTTTATTTTGTGGCACCTCTGAAATATGTAGGAATTATGGATTGGTCTGAAGTTCTGCATGTTCTATGAAATTCCTTCAGTACAAAATGTGTTGGACAATATTTGCGCTTGTTGTAAAATTATGTATTTGTTAAACATTTGAAAAGGCAAATGGGGCCAATTATAAAACAAGCCTAAATAAATTATAAATTCAGTTGAGGTTAAACTTGACATGTTTTTCTTCACGCTTGTTTCCCTGCAAGCTAAGGTGCCATCAGTTTAGTAATTCTTACAGTTGAGCTTGGATTAGGTTTTATGGCTAACTGGCCTGAACTCATGGGTCTAAAGGATGAAGCATTTTAGTGAAAAGAAATCTACACTTCTCCATATTAGACCCATTGCTTTTATGCCACTAATTGGTACTAGAGGCAGCCCAAGTGTAGAAAACTAAGGTATGTGTACATATTCGCTCCCCACTTTTGAGGCAAACAATCTGAAGCTGTAAAGACAGGTGTTTTGTTTTAGCTGCTTTTCTAAAGGTCTTTTTAGACCTTTTGCTTAAGTACTCCTGAATCTATTTGTGGTTGAGAAAAAACAGGTTGCTTACCTGTAACTGATGATCTTCGAGTGGTCATCTGTGCATTCACACCCATGGGATCTAGTGCGCACGCGCTGGATCGATTGGTGCTGTAGCAAGCTCTTTTAATGGATTTTCGCGCCCAGACCTCGGGCATGCGCAGGAACCCCACCGCGCATGTCCAGAGGGGAGGGCGTGGACATCCCGCCAGTTCCTTCAAACCGCCGCAAATCAACCCCTATTGAAAATGTAGAAGCTGACAGCAGCGGGGAAGGAGGGCAGGTGGTGTGAATGCACAGATGACCACTCGAAGATCACCAGTTACAGGTAAGCAACCTGTTTATCTTCGACGTGGCCTCTGTGCTTCACACCCATGGGAGGTTAGCGAGCAGTGGCCTACCTAGAGGAGGGTGCTGGCAGGTCCTTTACTCTGTAGCCGAAGACAGAATGAGACATCCCATGTTGGTATTGGTGTTCTTACGGACATCTAGGGCGTAGTGCCTGATGAAGGTGTTAGGCGTGGCCCATGTAGCAACTTTGCAAATGTCCGTCAGGAGAATTCCCCGGAGGAAGGCAGTGGAAGTCGCAACAGCTCTGGTAGAATGAGCCCTGTTTGGCGATTAGGTAGCAGAGATGGATGAGCCCCGCAATCCACTTTGACAGGCACTGAGCCGTGATGCGAGTCCCCGGCCTTGCTGGTGCGTAAGAGACGAACAGCTGGGAGTCTCGTCTCGTTGGGCGTGTTCTATTGAGGTAGGAGAGCCCGCTTCGCATCCAAAGTGTGTAAGAGTCTGTCCTCTGCGGATGTTGGAGTTGGGAAGAAATCCGGGAGGAAGACCTCCGCTTGCAGGAAGGAAATGTCCGGTATGAGGCGGACTCCGTCTGGCAAAAATAACAGGTAAGGCGTATCGTGTCGGAAAGCCAATATTTCTCACACTCGCCTAGCCAAGCGACAGTAATTAAAAAGGCCGTTTTCCATGCTAGAAGTTTGAGGTCGCACGTTGCGAGTGGCTCAAAGGGCTTCCTCGTGAGCTGGCAGAGAACTAGAGGAAGGTCCCAGGGAACGACTGGAGTTTTGACAGGAGGGTAGAGATGCAATAAACCTTTTAAAAAACATTTTGAAAGCGGATGGGAAAACAGTGTGCATCCGTCAACTTGAACATGGTAGGCCAAAAGGGCGGCCAGATAAACTCATAACGATTAATGGGAAAGTCCCGAGTCAGCTAGGGAGAGGAGGAATTGGAAAACTCTTT